GAAGTGCTGGGGTTACAGATGTGCATTACTGCATGGAGCTATTATAGGTTCTGGAGACCCCAGTGGGTTTACTGGACTTGGGTAGCAATTGGTTCTACCCACTGAGCCATCTCCCTGATCCTTGAACGTCTGATCCTTGCCCTCCTAGCTCCTGAGTGTTGAGACTGTAGGCAGGTGTCACCCTCACCAGTTGATCCAGTGCTGGGGATCAACTCCCGGGCCTTATGCTCGGTAGGCAATCGCTCCACCCACTGAACTACATCTCGCTCACCTCCCCCGCCCCACACCCTCCATTTTCTTTAAATGGAATCCTCTTATGTTGTACAGGCTGTTCTCAAACTTTGGGGCTCAAGTGATCTTGCCACAGTCTCCCGAGCAGCTGGAACTACAGATGTGAGCCGTTGCTCCTGGCTCAAATTTTTCTCTGTTGATCCAATTTTCAAACAGAGAAAACCCAACAAAACATGTCTAGCTTTTGCACAATTTGGAGCACGAGTCAGAAAAGAAAGGAAGGATTCAGTTTTTGCACATGCTGTCATGGCCTGGGTTAGCCCAAAGTCCTCCTAGACCCTACCAAATTCCTCCCAAACGGAATGGCTTCCGTCCTAGGGCTGACATTTGTTTAGCAGGAACTTCCTGGGAGCCACCACGTCTGTCCATGGGACCCCCCCACCATCCAAACCCTCACACTCGGCTGGGGGAGGCTGGGAGTAAGGGGTAAGGTAAGGTCCATGCCAGTGAGCAGGGTGGTGAGCCCACCCACAGCTGCATTTGTTCCAGAACAAACTGACTTTGGAAGTCACTGAATCTTAACACTGTGGAGTGGACTTGAACTTGGGCTGTTTCAAAATCAAATTTATAAAGCAGAGTAGAGCAGAGAGCTGGTCACTAAGTACTTTTCAACAAAAGAACACTGATGTATCAGCCTTGGAAGTTGTCCCATGGCAGGGTAAAAATGCATCTCTGCCTCAGAACACTTTCCTGGCCACAGCTGCTGTCCCCAACAGAGTCGGGGCTCATTTCTCCAGGGTTGCCCTTAGATGTCTTTTCAAGAGTTCCCGGATCTTGTCTTTATTCAATACTGAGCAGAGACCGCCACAGGTGCCAGAAACAGCAGCCCCTAGCAGCTCCTGGACCATTTAAAAGGTTGTTTTCTTAATGGGGGATTACTCCCTGGACTTTTCAGTGGAGAAACAATCTCTAGAGAGTCATGGGAACCCATCGGGCCCATGCAGAAGGGAGCTAGCCTGATCACTTCTGAATTCCAACCTGGTAGCCTATGTTAGCTTAGCACAGGAAAGGGAGGGAGACCTTCCCCCAAGGTTAGAGGCACCAACACTTGGCCTGATAACTACCAAGGACAACCCGCCCCCAGCTCCCCTCTCCACCCTCACCAGAAACTTCACAGAGAGTCTCTGCAGTCAGCTTCTGGCCTAAGTCACAGGCCTGAGCTCTAGCCTGCCTCTCTCTAGAAATGGTCCTTGGCTTACGGAAGAGGCAGCATCTGGCGATGTGGGAAGGGAAGTGTTAAGGGTCTGTGGCTGTGCACACAGTAGCTGCTGAGCCACCAGGGAACAGGATAAATGTCTGTAACGGGAATAAATCCTGGGGGGCAGGAGGGAGGAACCAGCTCACAGATATGGACAGGATCCTCACACAAGTCTAAGGAAAAATGCTGTTGTTTCCCTTCACTATTTAGAAATCCACCCTGTCCTTGCCCTAGGTGAAGACACTGCAGAAATTGTAATATTTGTTCCTTTTTTTTGTGTTTTATTACTGATATTTCTGTGAAGAAAGAGAATGGAATGTTAATGTGAGGCCCTTCATTCCTGCTTACTAAAAACACTAATATAGTGTGGGGCTGGGGCTGTAGTTCAGGCTAGAACATTTGTCTAGCATGTGTAAGACCCTCAGTTTGATCCCCAGAGCCACAAAAGGAGACAAAATGCTATTTTAAAAGAAGGTTCAGTCCCGGTTAGTAGTGTAGTAGTCACACCTGTAATCCCAGCACTCTGGGAGGCTAAAGGGGGAGGACTGGCAGGAGTTTGTGGCTAGCCTGGGCTACATAAAGAGACCCTGTGTCATTCTTAATACCCCTTCCCAATTTTTTTTTTTTTAAAGATCTGGGCTTGGTGGCTAATGCCTATTATCCTAGTACTGGAAAGGCAGAGGCAGGATGACTGCTGTGGGTTCAAGGCCAGCCTGGGCTACATAACCAGTTCCAGACTTGCTAGGGCTACATAGTGAAACCCTGTCTCAGGTAAGTGTTGTTTTCATTTTTTGCTTTTGGGTTTGTTTGTTTGTTTTTCCTCCCCCAAATATTAAGGTCACAGGCCACATTTATCTCATACAGTACTATACTTGGTACGACGAGCATGTCACCACACAGGCTTCCACTCTCCCTGAGTGCTTTTTTTTTTTTTTTTTTTTTTTTTTGAGACAGGGTTTCACTGTGTAGCCCTGGCTGTCCTGGAACTCTCTCTGTAGACCAGGCTGGCCTTGAACTCACAGAGCTCCATCTGCCTCTCTCTTTTGAGTGCTGGGACTAAAGGCCTGCGCCACCACCTCCTGGCAGGCCTTTTTATCTGCATAGATACCCTTGTGTGGCTGAGCAGTACCAGCTTGCTGGTCTTGCCCCTCTGTCCAGAGGAAGCTGCCAGAGCTGCTTATGAGCCCAGAGAGGCTTCTGCCAAAGCACGTGGGACTTCTGCTGGTGGGCAAGACGGCAGATGGCAGATCGTCTGTTGCTGTACTTGCTGATTTTGGTCTTAAAGTACTAGTCTGGGCTCTTTCAACCCTGCCACTGTGCAGTGCTCCCTGGGGGAACTTCCTGTGCGTATGAGGAGGCGGGAGCTAAACACGATACGGCTGTCCCAGGTGGTGATTGACAGTTGGAGTTCCTTGGACAGTGATTAAAAAGAAAAACATAGAGGGACAAGTATGACCACCCTGGAGCGGTCTGTGGCAGAGGGAGAGACAAAGGGCTGAGGAAGAGGTGTGTGCAGTGCCCGGGGAAGGAGCTCACGCCTGGGAGCCAGACAGAGCAAGGCAGGAAAAGAGGTCATCAAAGGGCCGGACAGACAGAGGAAGGCCGCAGAGAAGGGGCCAGTGCAAACAAACAATTAAGGGCAATAAAACGGGGGGGGGGGGGCAGCCAAAGTAGAGTCAAACTGGGAAGCGAAGGGAGGGAGACCATGTCTCCCCTCCACCTTCCGTCCAGTCAGAATGCTGCCTGCCTCCTGACATTGTCACAGTGCCGGATAGGCGCTCAAAGCAGGGCTGCCACACAGCCCCTTCCCTCGGTCTGTGAAGCAGACCCTTTCCTGACCCGTTAGGAGATGACACAGAAACTGCTCTCGAACTCATGTGCCGGACCGTGCAAAGCCGGGTAAAGGGTGTTACAAAAAAACCATAGCCAGCAGAACCGACCTTCACCAGAGAAAAGGAGGGTAAGAAATACCTCAAGAAAAGCGTAACCTGTTCCACTCAGGTTCAGGCGCAAGAGGCCCGTAAGGAGTGGGTGTAAGGTCTGGGTGGCCTTTGAGCTCAGACCTGTTTTGTTTTTGAGGTAGGGTCACACTCAGCCTGGCCCTGAGGGCTCAAGCGATCCTCCTGCCTCAGCCTCCTTTGTACCTGCGATTATAGATGTCCGACCTTGAAAGAGGATAGAAAGTGGGCATTCAAGAGCTGGAGAGATGGGTTATGGGCCTCAGTGGGGCGGCTGTGCTCAGAGGCGCCATCTGAGGGAGCTGTAAGGAGTAAAGGGTAGACCTGCCATCGTGCTGTCCCCAGAGGTCGTGGGGACAGCGGAAGAGGACAGGGAACGATGACAACCAGGCATGTGCTGCTGTGACAAGTCACCTGTGTTTTATCTTCTACTAAAGCCAAAGCTTAGGAGACAGTGGTGTTTCCTCACTCCCGCTCCAGCTAACACCGCCCATACGGAGTGCATCCGCCATTACCCAAGTGTGTCTGGGCCGGGGCTCTGTATCTGCTCACAGCAGCTCTTCAGAGTCAGGCCCAGGCTCACCTGATGCTGTAACAAACCGTTCTCCCAGGCTAGGGTTAATGGCCTAAACATCCAATCATCATGAGGAGGGCTGGCCAAGAGCAAACATTGCACCTCAGTCCTGGAGGGACCGATGTCCTTCTGAAGTGATAAAGTTAGAAAAATGAGTCAGGAGCCAGGAGTATGATGGACACCTGTAGTCCCAGCTCGCGGGAGGCTGAGGCAGGAGGATGTCATGAGCCCAGGAGTTTGAAGTCAGCCTAGGCAACAAGTAAGACCTTGTTTTAAAAAACAAATACAAGCTGGCTCGAGGTGGCCTTTGCCTTTAATCCGAGTACTTGAAAGGCAAAGACAGGCGGATCTCCGAATTCAAGGCCAGCTTGATCTACAGAGCAAGTTTCAAAACAGCCAGCTACACAGAGAAACCCTGTCTCAAAAACTCAACCAAACAACCAAACAACCAAACAAAAACAAAACAAAAAGCCAGTACTCAAGAGCCAGAGGCAGGTGGATCTCTTGAGTTTCAGGCCAGCCTGGTCTACATTGCGCATTCCAGCCAGAGCTACAGAGTGAGATCCTATCCCAAAACAAACAACTGCTAACCAACAAACAAAAAACCACTCCACATCCCTAAAAAGAAAGACAACAGCTGGGCAGTGGTGGCACACGCCTTTAATCCCAACACCCACAGAGGCAGGCGGATATAAGTGAGTTCGAGGCCAACATGGTTTACAGAGTGAGTTCCAGGTCAGCAGGGCTGTTACACACCGAAATACTGTCTTGAAAAACCAAAAAAGAAAAAAAGAAAGAAAGAGAGAGAGAGAGAGAGAAAGAGAGAGAGAGAGAAAGAGAGAGAGAGAGAGAAAGACAGAAAGACAGAAAGACAGACAACTAGACATGGGTCTGGCTCAGTGACAAGGGGGCAGGCAGGTCTACACCCTTAGCTCCTCGGCAGTGAGGACAACATGGCTTACCCGGCGGCCAGCCTCGTTGTTCTGCAGGTTCATGAGGGCTCGGCCTTGCTCCTCTGATCCCTTGGCGAAGTTCTTCTCACGCTCTCGGGCGTCCACAAACTCCTTGGCAAAGCGGTAGCCGTACTCCACATTGTCCCCACAGCCACCCCAGAGCCAGTCTCGTGGCAGGTCCTTGGGCCTGGCGGTCCGGCTGCAGCCACAGGTGGACAGCTCACCCTCTCGGCAGGCGCGGCTGATGGCGTTCACCACGCCAGCAGCACTCACTGCATAGGTGAAGGCGGTCTCCCGGCTACCTGCAGCAAGGGGCAGCAGAAGGTAAGCAGGCCACTCTCCTCTGCGGACGGCCTCTCCCTCCCTCTGCTTGGCTGGGGCTGGCCCTGTGGGAGCCAGTGTCCCAGGGGAACGCTTGCCCTTTTCACAGCACGGAGGGTTAGACACTCTTTGCAATGGGCTGACCTTGGCCCATTTTTGACTTCTGCCTCTTGGCCCCAGCTCTACCCTAACACCCCCAGACCTGGTCAACACTCAACCCATTGCACTTTCTAGGACCCACAGCCACTCCTTGGAGGAGCTGTAAGGAGAGGGAGGGTGGACTTCCTGCAACTTATGGACCATTTGGGGCTATCAGGATGAGGCTGAAGAAGAAAGTATGAGATTAACAGAACAAGCCCGCACCCAGGTAAGAATGGCTTCTCCTTCAGACACCATTTCTCTCCCACCCACAAGCTACACATCTGTGTGTCTGTCCTCTTCATGCCTGTCCCTGTCTAGTGGGACCCTGGCAAAGGCCAGGCATAGAAAGTGAACTAGACAACAGTCCTACATTTTCCCTCTCTTTCCCCTGGGCCTCACGATGTCTCTCAATTTAAGAGCATCAGGCAGGGCCAGGCTTTGATCCCAGCACTTAGGAAGAAGTAGAGGCAGGTGGATCTCTGTGAGTTTCAGGTCTACACAGTGAGTTCCAGGACAGCCAGAGCTCCACAGTGAGACCCTGTCTGGAAAAACAACAACAACAAACAAAGAAACAAACAACCTCCCACGGTACGTGCTCTGTTGCACTGTGGATGAGAACATTATTGGGTGCAGATGCTTTGGAAATCAGCCTAGCAGCAACTGAAAGGGTTAGCAGAGTTCCCAGATGACCCCGCAATTGCATTCCTAAAAATATGCCCAACGGAAACAAAGATATGTGTCCAAATGTTTCCCCATGGATCCTCATTGCAGCATGATTCACAATGACTACAAAAAAAGAAGAAGAAGAAAAGAAAGAACAAAAGAAGCCAATTATCATCAATGGACAGATAAAGACAATGTGCCATTAGCCATACAGTGAAATGTTAATGGGAATGAAGTACCAACATATGCCACGACATGGATAAACCTTTAAATAATTGCATCAAGTGAAGAGGTCATGTATTGTTTGTTCCTATTTATAGGGATGTCCAGAATGGGAAAAATCCACAGAGATTAGCGGTAGCCTAGGGCTGGGGGTGGGAACTAGACAGTGACAGTTAAGGGACAACACAGATGCTCTGGAATTAGTGGTCACAGTCGCACATGTAGTAATACACTGGAGACCACTAAACGGTACACCTTTAAACGGTGAACTGTACATGACATGAATGACATCCCCTTAAAGCCGTTGTAACAAATAACAAAGGACACTGGTGTGGGGTGTGGAGAGAGGTGGTTCTCGGCAGGTCACAGACTCCTCCTGGACTTGATCTTGTACCAGGTAGAATGTTCTCCCTCTGTGACTCCCCCAAGCCTCCACAATGGGAAGGAGACACCACAGTCCTGTCCTGGAGAGTGAAGAGGCAGAAGCCTGTAATCAGTTAAAAGGTATGAAGGCGGGCTGGAGAGATGGCTCAGCGGTTAAGTGCCCTGGCTGCTCTTCGGGAGGACCTGGGTTCAAATCCCAGCACCCACATGGCAGCTCAGAAGACACCATCGTACAGACATACACATGGGCAAAACAGCAATGCACACAACATGAAAATAAGTAAAGTGTTAGAAAGAAAGTATTTTTAAAAAGGTGTGAAGGCCAGGGAGATGGCTCCATAGCTAAGAACGTTTGCTGCTCTTGCAGAAGGCTGGAGTTTAGTTCCCAGCACCCATGTCAGGTGGCTCACGGGCCCCTGTGACCCCAGCTCCAGAGGATCCAATGCCCTCCTCCAGCTTCTTCATCCACATACTTAGGCACACATATGTACATATAAATAAACAATAAAATGAATCTTAGAGGAAAGGTCTGGAGTGATCCCTGCTTCTCAATTACCTTGGCACTACACAGCGATGCCAGGAATCAGATCACACTGAGTGAATCAGTTTTCCACAATTAACCATGATCAGCTCTGGTCATCTGTAAACAGGAACATCCCCTGCAACCTCCACCTAATGGCAGCAGGCCCCACTCATGACTGACACTTGCCCCAGTGCTGACTGCCGCAGTGAATGCTGAGATAGTCCAAGAAGTTCTTTAAAAACAAAACTGTTTTATTTTACATTGTATATGTGTGTTTGTCTTCGTAAGGAAATGTGCACATGAGTGCAGTACCTGTGGAGGCCAGAAGAGGGTGCTGGATCCCCTTGAGCTGGAGTCATAGGCAGTTATGAGCAGTCTAATGTAGGTGCTGGGAACTGAACTTGAGTCCTCTGGAAGAGCATTATGGTGCTCTTAACGAAGCAGACTGGACTCTGTTTTGAATGAGTCATGCCTGAGAAGTCTTCTAGAAATGCTCTCAACTCCTGACACACCACCTGGAGCAGGATAGAGCCTTAGGCACCCCAGTACAGGGTCCCTTTCCATTCTCCACAAGCATTAGCTTCCAGCATGCCTCAGAAGAATAGCTGGCCTTTCAAAGCAGCTTATTCATCTTTTTTCCTTTCCCTTTAAAAATGATTCTATCACTAGAAAGTTCATTCTCATATGAAACCAAAATACGCCTCCTTGTAATTTCTGCCTGCTGGAGCGGCACTGTCTAATCCCCCATCCATTTGACAGCTCTCCAGTGTTTGAAAACAAGAAACATGCCTTTTATGTGTTCCTTTCCCAAGCTACAGATGTCTGATTTCTTTTACCCTCCTTTAGCAAATATGCTTCCCAGAGTCCAATCAGCCCTCTCCAAATGGCTTTTGAAGTCACGGACCCATCTCTGAATGTAATATACCAGATGCCACAAACTGAGTTCTGGTGACTTGGGATCTGAAAGTGAACTCCAGCACACTGGACTCATTCTGCCTCCGCTGGAGGGGGATAACCAGATTCTGAGAGTATGCAGTGTTCACTGTGTGAGGAAGCACTTGGGTCGTGGGTAAGAGAGTATTGCATAGAAATCTGCTGCAAGAGAGCTTCCCACTGCAAGTAAGATAAGGGGTGTGTGTGTGTGTGTGTGTGTGTGTGTGTGTGTGTGTGTGTGTGTGTATTTCGAGGAGGGGAGCAGGTATCTAGACATGAAACAGTCACAGATAAAAGTAAAGCCAAACCATCCCAAAGATACAAGGCCAGCAAGCCATGGCCACAGAGCGACTGCAGAGACCTCACATCTCCCAGCTCCAGGGAAACAGAATGCCTTGCTCTCCTCTGTCCCACTGCTCAGAGGGCCCAGGCTCCAAGGTAAGGCTGCTCTTCTGAGCTGCTCTGCTGCCCTCTGGTGATGACTCTTGCTGTGGCTTCAAGAAGAAGGGAGCCTAGGGACACCTCCCAAGATTCTAGAAGGAGCTATCCAGGGGCATAGGAGGAAGGGCAGCTTCTCAGGCAAGGAGAGCCTTCGGGGAAGCTACAAAAAGGAGAGGGAGAGCCGAGGTGTGGTGGCACATGCCTTTAATCCCAGCACTAGGGAGGCTGAGGTGGGCTGATCTCTAGGAGTTCAAGCCCAGCCTGGTCTAC